ATGAAACTGCATGCAGATTAGGAGATGTTTTATAGTGTCAGTTGATTTGCAACAAACAATTATTTCTCAAGAGAAGTTTGAAGTATAGGAGTCAGACTGTGAATAGAATAGAGTTTTCCTGGAGATGTTATTGTAATTTAAACCATGGAGTATTTGACCCATTCTGGCCTCGTTTACTCGCTCGAGTCCTTCTAACCCTGGATAAACACGAGACGGTTCTGACTCGTGAGTGAATGATGATTTCTGGGTGATCTGTCTTTAGTTTTCTGCATATAGACACTGTAAGATCCTGGTTTCACTGTCTTATTGTTTGATGATCATGGAAACCTGCTAGTTGTTGTACTGTTCATGCATCTTACCTGAAAAACAGAAACCTGACCTTTTTGCTTTAGGATTTTCACTTTATGTGGATTGGTCCATTAAATGAAAATAAAAGTCGAATGATTATTCTGTGTGTGGGTTTGTTCTTCAATCATTTTAGCTTTTTAATATGTTTTGTGTCACATTGTTTGTGGATGATCTGTGAATATAAAGCAGCATGCAGACTTCAAGTCAGAAATATTATAGCTAAATTTTTTCAAATAATTAGTAAAGATGCTTTCGCTCTCTCGTAATGACACTTCAGTGTTTTGTCAAGATGCTTCTGAAATGATGACAGACAGTGATTAGGACTATTAAGTCCTTGTTAACTGGGGTAGGCCTAATTGGACTGATTTAAAAAAAAAATGTGAGAAAAACACAAAATAACATGCACTTGAATAAATACATCTGCATCTTAATATTACTAACTTTTTATAAGAACTTGATATTAATGCCACTAACAAACAGTTGAATTAGATGATGCTTAACAGATAACAGATAGTTAATAGCCTATACCCTATTCAAATAGTCACGCTATGAAACACATGTTTGTTCAAAATGTTTTTTCTGACCCCTGATAAGCGTTTATATATTACATATATAGCCTATATTAGACCTGTCAGGGTGATTTTGGCGAGAAACTGCGCACATACATTATTGGTCCGTGTGTATCTCGTCATATCCGTAAATAGAGAAAGTTGCTTGGCCTACTTTGCCAAGTGTCTGGTTTGGGAGTGGCAGATGTTGTGTGTGTGTGTGTGTGTGTGTGTGTCAGAGGTTTAGGCTACTCATGTCATGGCTTCGCTTCAGAAGGCCTTTATTAACCGTGTGGAGTTCGTTTATGATGGATGGATGCACTTTTATAAACTTCAATCTGTTGGTTGCAATCCACTGCCATTATGAAGCTTGGAAGAGCCAGGACATTCATTAATTTAACTCCGAGGACATTTATTAATTTGACTCCGAGTATATTCGTCTGAAAGAAGAATGTCATATACACCTGTGGCTTGAGGGTGAGTAGGCTAAATCATGGGCTAATTTTCATTTTAAAGTGTTCTACTCTTTTAAAGGATTAGTTCACCTCAAAATGAAAATTCCCTAATAATTTACTCACCCCCCAATGCCATCCGAGATATCCATGTCTTTCTTTCCTCAGTGGAAGAGAAAATAAGTTTTTTGAGGAAAACATTTCTAGATTTTTCTTCGAATAATGGACTTCAATGGCAACCAACGTTTTGAAGTCCAAATCAATGCAGTTTCAAAGCTCTTTGAAGTGCTTTAACGGGCTGTGCACGATCAGCTGAGGAAGAGGGTCGATCTTATAGCGAAACGATAGGTCATTTAAAATATATATAGCCTATATACTTCTTAACTACAATGGGCTCTATGCACGGCGGTATTTCCGGTGAAGGTCAAGGATGCTCGATAACTTCCGCCGATCATAGAGTCCAATGCAATACCGAGAATTTATATTGAATTGTATACTCCATGGTTATACTAAAGAAGCGTTAGTCACAAAAACTGACAAAACAGACACACCTCGTTGTGTTTATGCTTCTTTTTAAAATTATATTAAATAAACATAACTATCCCCTAACCCCGCCCCTAAACCTACTCGTCACTGGGGTTAAGACCAATCAGGGACGATGGCCTACCCCTAACCCCGCCCCTAAACCTACCCGTCACTGGGGTAGACCAATCAGGGACGATGGCCTACCCCTAACCCCGCCCCTAAACCTACTCGTCACTGGGGTAGACCAATCAGGGACGATGGCCTACCCCTAACTAGAGGCCTGCATTTCAGCCCGAGCCCGACGGGCCCCGACTTATTTACGCTTCTAGGGCCGGGCTTCGGGCCAATTTTCACGTCATAGTTCACACGCGGGCCGGGCCTCGGGCCTGTTTTAGGCTTATCTTTTTTTATAGCCTATTTTAGACATTAATTAAAATAAAATATGAGAAGATGACGATTGAAAAGCAAACATAGAAAGACGTTTTATAACCTATCACACTGACATGACTGACACATGACAGTCTGCTCACGCACACGCACAGGTTTCCCGGCGGCGCGATCTGAGATTCGTGCGACCGGCTCGTTCTGTGTTTAGTGTCCCGGTGGCGAGCGTGACTTCAGCGCAGCTGGAAAAAGTACGACTGGATTAAAACCTTCCACTGTGGATGCTGTGCTTTTTCTTCACGATGCTCTGAGACTGTTCTTAGCCATGTTAGGAGGTTGTTTTTTGTTTGATTGGACTTTATTTTCATGAGTCTGTTGAAAACTATTGGAAATAAGAATGGCCATGTTCTGTAGTGAAGACTTGATTTTTGAGGTAAGATAACCTGCATGTTTGTTTTTAATGTAATTTATTTGATTTGTTTAGATTGCATTCTCTGTATGTATTGTAAACTCATTTAGTTTGCGAGCGCTGTTGCGACTGAGCAGCAGAGCAGTTTGCCTCAGCTTTTCAAAAATGACAATAAACGTTTAAACAAACGTTAACTGTCTGTGTGATATGCTTAAGTTGTTTTATATATATGGATTGTATTGTAGCCAAGTAAAGTGTTGATTTGAGAGGCTATAAATGGATCAAACATGTTTAACTCACTGTCGGCTGCTTGGTCGTCATAAAAAAAAAAAAAACATTTTTCTAAATTAACTTTATAAAGAAATGAAAATAAACTTACTGGTAAATACTTTGCCATTGAGAAGAAAAAAAAATCTGTTTTACTGACTGCAACATAGGGCAGGCTGTGAATTTTTTTTTTTTTTTTTTTTTTTTTTTTTTTTTACGGGCTCGGGTCGGACTCGGGCTGATCATTCTAATGAGCTGTCGGACACGGGCCGGGCTAGGGCCTGAGCGTCTCGGGCCAGGGCCGGGCTAGGGCCTAGATTTGAGGCCCGTGCAGGGCTCTACCCCTAACCCCGCCCCTAAACCTACCCGTCACTGGGGTAGACCAATCAGGGACGATGGCCTACCCCTAACCCCGCCCTAAACCTACCCGTCACTGGGGTTAAGACCAATCAGGGACGATGGCCTACCCCTAACCCCGCCCATGGTATATGGTGGTGGGGTCCGGATAACAGGAAAGTACCGTTCAAATTGTATTGTATGTTAAATTACATATTTATGTTTGTATGACATTAATTTTTATGACAACTAAGCACATTTTTTATTTTGAGAGTGAGTAAGTGTGTGTGTGTGTGTGTGTGTGTGTGTGTGTGTGTGTGTGTGTGTGTGTGTGTGTGTGTGTGTGTGTGTGTGTGTGTGTGTGTGTGTGTGTGTGTGTGTGAGAGTGTGTGTGAGAGTGTGTGTGTGTGTGTGTGTGTGTGTATGCGTGTGCGTGTGTGTGCGTGTGTGTGTGTGTGTGAGAGATTAGTTTTCCAGCATGTGGATTCGCTGTGACGAACATCTGAACCCTCTGAGGCAGAAATGTTAAAGTGTTGGCTGAAGTCAAGCAAGTATAATCTGTGGTGTTGCATTCAGACTTTATTTCTGGACTGAATTTTGTGTTGCGTGACTATCATTTAATCAAGTCGTGTTCTTCCAAAACACTCTTAAATGTCAAGCAGCTTTATTCGAGTATCATGATGACAGAGGAGATGTCTGTGAGGATGAGTGTGTGTGTGTGTGGGTCATGTTAACCAATTCCTTTAGTTTAGTAAATCCACACGCCTAGAGCTGAGAAAACCAGTGTGTTTCTGCCATCTAGTGGAGGACCAGTTCAAAACACCTACTGTAAACATCAGCTACCCCATGGTACAATGTTGACATATTTAGGTATTACTACTTATAATAATAATCTGTTTTTCCATAATGTTTGTCGAGTAAACATGGTAAAATTGGGTAAAATGTCCCTCTCTCATCGCAACATTTCTTGAATGTTTATGGGCCTAAAATATTTCCCACCTGAAAATCAACATTTGTGATTTATTCACCCCAGTTTTGAGGTTTAAATGTTCATAATAGTGATGTGTGAATTTATTATATGTTGAACTATTTATTTGTTATATGGAATGCGTTTTTCATATACAACTAAATTGTATTTTACTCTTCTTTAAATGTCATATTTTAGCTTAAGTTACAGTAAATGCTTCTTACCCTACATTTATGAGGGGTTTTCTATTCTATATTAATATAAAATCCATGCAATAACAATGCACCTTATAATTACTATTAAACAGATAACCTGTAAACATGTGCTTAATTTTTTCAACAGACTTTTCCACATTTTCAATATTATAGAAAAACTGGAAAAACCTCCATAACACGATCAAATCCATAAGCCGACCTTCACAAACACAATGCCCACCGAAGCCATGTTAATGTCTTTATTTTTTAATATCTACTTCATACCAATATTCAAGAATTCTCAAAGGAAAAAAATGAATGTCACAGAGTAGCTCACAAAATAAAGATTCTCTTGCACCGTTATATTTTACACATTCTGATCATGAAAAAATAAACCAACATGTTGTGTACCGTACGAAACAGGTAATTGAAGACGTCAATGTGGAAATAAAAGAAAAGAAACAGACTCACCCTTGACTCTACATGTGGAACAAACATCAAATTATGTACATATCCTCCTGAGATTGAGTTTTGCATGTTGTTGCACACAGACCGGTTCAGTTATGTGTGGTTTCTATGGGATCTGTAACAGGAAGATGATGACGATTGTACAAACCGACCCGGATCAAATCTGGACCCTTCAGACCAGGGTTTGTTAGCCAACGATTCTCCATCTAAACTCTGACAATATTGTCATTAGGGATGCACCGATATGAAAATTTTGGCCGATACCGATAATTCTTTATATTTGAAATCCGATAACCGATATATTGGCTGATAAACTAAATCCAAATTTATATATATTTTCGAGAGCCTGATTACAAAAACAAAAGTCTCATCATTATAATCCATGTCCCAAACACACAATTATAAAGTTCTCATTATATTTTTATGTAGCTTATATTGACACATGTTGCACTTCACTGTATTTTCCTTTTTTGAAGTGATTCCAATCATATTTCAGTCAATTCAGAACCATCATGTTGAACAGTGCGCATCTGAAGCGTCTCAGCTGAAGGAAATAATACATTATTTATCGGCTTTAATATATCGACCAAATTTCCTTATCGGGCCGATAATGATAACATTAGAAATGATTATATATCGGCCGGTACCGATATGGTGACCGATATATCGTGCATCACTAATGGTCATATCATAATGATAAACCAACACATGAACATGTCACAGCATTCATTGACAGCTTTGGTGAATCCATCAGTCTTATATTGCTCTGATATGTACAGAAACACACACACATAAACAAGCAAACAGACGTAACACCGACAACAGTTTGTGTGGGTGAAACCGATCGCAGGAGATCTGCACCAAATCAGCAAAAAACACGTCGTCCTGTCGGATCAACTCGCAGAAGTGTGTCTGAAAATCCTGCGTCTGAAGGCTCTCATCCACGGTTTTTATTGGCCTACTATAGGTGTGTGTGAGAGAGTGAGTGTGCGTGTGTGTGAGAGAGTGAGTATGCCTGTGTGTGAGAGAGTGTGTGCGTGTGAGAGAGTGAGTGTGCGTGTGTGTGAGAGAGAGAGAGAATGAGAGAGTGAGTGTGTGTGAGAGAGAGAGAGAATGAGAGAGTGAGTGTGCGTGTGTGTGAGAGAGAGAGAATGAGAGAGTGAGTGTGTGTGTGTGTGTGTGTGAGAGAGAGAGAATGAGAGAGTGAGTGTGCGTGTGAGAGAGTGAGTGTGCGTGTGTGTGAGAGAGAGAGAATGAGAGAGTGAGTGTGTGTGTGTGTGAGAGAGAGAGAGAATGAGAGAGTGAGTGTGCGTGTGAGAGAGTGAGTGTGCGTGTGTGTGAGAGAGAGAGATAATGAGAGAGTGTGTGTGTGTGTGTGAGAGAGAGAGAGAGAGAGAGAGAGAGAGAGAGAGAGAGAGAGAGAGAGAGAGAGAGAGAGAGAGAGAGAGAGAGAGAGAGAGAGAGAGAGAGAGAGAGAGAGAGAGAGTGTGTGTGTGTGTGTGTGTGTGTGTGTGTGTGTGAGAGAGAGAGAGAGAGAGAGAGAGAGAGTGAGAGTGAGTGTGTGTGTGTGTGTGTGTGTGTGTGTGTGTGTGTGTGTGTGTGTGTGTGTGTGTGTGTGTGTGTGTGTGTGTGTGTGTGTGTGTGTGTGTGTGTGTGTGTGTGTGTGTGTGTGTGTGAGAGATTAGTTTTCCAGCATGTGGATTCGCTGTGACGGACATCTAAACGCACCGAGGCAGAAATGTTAAAGTGTTGGCTGAAGTCAAGCAAGTATAATCTGTGGTGTTGCATGAATTAATTTGATGCAATAAAATTAATGAATGAATATGTACAGAACCACACACAGACACAAACAAGCGAACAGACGCAACACTGACAACAGTTTGTGCGGGTGAACCCGATCGCAGGAGATCTGCACCAAAACCTGGAGGTCCTGTGGGATAAACTCGCAGAAGAGAGTCTGAACGTCCCGCTCCGGAATGAAGCGGTGTGTGTGTGCGCTAGTGTGCGCTGGCGTCCGACGCGGGTGTGGACGCGCGGGAGGTCTTCTCCGGGACGGGGCTCGGGACGGGGCCGCTGTCGGGGGCTTTGGCCAGGACCCGAGCGCTCAGAGACGAGGGTTTGGGCTGGTTCTGGAGTCCCGGGGCACAGATGAGATGGTGTCGTTCCCAGTCTTTATGCTGACAGAAGGAGCCGCAGTATCTCGCCGCGTTACAGCCGCTGCACGTCTCACTCGCCTTACGACCACAGTTCCAGCAACACTGACACACACACACACACACACGGCTCAATTAATCACTGCCAGTTATGGGTATTAGTACAATATTAAACAGCAACACTTTACAATAATGTTCTTAGTTAACATGAACTAAGAATGAAGAATACTTCTACAGCATTTATTAATCTTAGTTCATATTTCAACATTTACTAATACATTATTAAAATTAAAGGTTGTATTTGTTAACATTAGTTAATGCACTGTGAACTAACATGAACAATCAGTAATAAATGTAGTGTTTATTCTTAGTTCATACATTTACTAATGTTAACTAATGAACCTTATTATAAAGTGTTACCAACATTACAATATAAATATTAAATTCACACTTTTATCAATACCATTATTTTGCAAAAAATACATTAAACCTCTGGTACTGTTCGCGTGTCATTTCAGTGAAATTATTGTACTATATTTTAGTTCATTAATAGTTTTTATTTAATATTTTGTATTTTTAGGGGATTTTATGGTACTAAATTATATTTATGCATCAGTTATAATCCATTTATTCACTTTTTGAGCATGGAAATGTCATCAGTCTGTGTTCCAAAGCATTCAAGATTTGAGTTTGATCTCTTTTTAAAGACGACACTTGACAGATTTTTGTTTTCTGATGAAATAAAAAATTCACACACACACAAAAAACTACTAAAAATGTTTCGGTCAAAAATGAGCAAACAGCACCAGAGGGTTAAACTGATTAAAAGTGACCGTAAAGACTTTTATAAAAATACAGTATATATATTTATATGTTTATTTATTTTTTTGAAATTGTCAAAAGTGAGAGTAAAGACATTTATAATGTTACAAAATATTCTATTTCAAATAAATGCTGTTCTTTTGAACTTTCTATTCATCAAATAATCCTGAAAACAATCCATCACTGTATCCTCAAAAATGTCCTCAACTGTTGTCAACATTGATAATAATAATCATAAATGTTTCTTGAGCATCAAATCATCATATTAGAGTGATTTCTGAAGGATCATGTGACTCTGAAGACTGGAGTAATGATGCTGAAAATTCAGCTTTGATCACAGGAATAAATTATATTTTACAATTAGTGCTGCACGATTAATCGTATCGCAATCGTAATCGCGATGTCAAACCTATGCGATTATATAACGCAAAATGCCGCGATTTTATATGAAATAAACAAATTAGGGCTATTAACGCAGCATCTCTTCTTTTTTGTCATCCTTTGACTAGTGTTACATGATCCCGCTCTTATTCGTGCAAATGCCTTAAGTTAAAACCATTTTGCACGACAAGAAGTCAAAAGAGAGCGCGCTGCCTGTGAATGTCCTGAATGTGACTCACAGAAAAACGCGCGCCAGTATAATGCGCGTGCACAGACCGGGTGCCAGAATACAGTTCTCTTTCGAGCTTGAACGAACAATAACACACACAATTATGCCAAAATGTCGTTTGGTCGATTATCTTCATAACATAAGAGCAGTCTTATGATGGACGAAAAGAGTTGTGCTTGTGAGAGAATGAGGCGCGTGAGAGATCCGCGTCTCGGCAACGGCTGCTCTTAAAGGGCCAGCAGCGAATAAAGCGTTCAGTCGGTAAAGTTAATCAAAGAACAAAGGGAACAGAAAATTACTCACTGCTCTTAACTAAAGAAGTTTTGTAGCTTTAATAAGGATTAGTCTATATATAATTTATAATTCATGCAGCGCAGACTGTTTGATAACTTTATTCAATTTCTGTATATAAATCTGTATATAAATCCTCAATCCTACCTGTTAAGACAGGAAGGGCACAGGTAAATATGGCATTTATTATGGGTTTATGTGAGGATTGTTTGACGTTCACTTAATTTAAAAGCTGTTATTTTTTTAAGCCTAATAAATATTTTAAAAGTTGATAGCTTTCAATTGTATTGATGGAATCACTGTAATGTTGGATGGCTATAATTAACGTTTAAAATGTAGGGGGTGTCGTCATTTTTATCCAGACATCAATGGTTTATTGATCATTATAGGTGTTATCAATCATTTAGTTGTTGTTGCTAGTTTGAGTTGAGAAATACACATTAATACACAGAATGATCACTAATCTGTGTGTGCATTTTACTTTAGAACCAAGCAAGTTGACTCATGAAACCATTTGTTTATTATATCGCAATCGCATATCGCAATATTGACCTCATTAATCGCAATATGACATTTTCCTCAAATCGTGCAGCCCTATTTACAATATATTCACATAGAAAACAGCTATTTTAAATTGTAATAATATTTCACTGTTTTTATTGTATATTGGATCAAAAATGCCTTTAATTTTTTTTTTAAAAACCCAAACACTTAAACAGTAGTGTATAATATTGTAATTTTATATTTTATTTAATACTGTAATGTCTGTATATTTAATACATGCCCGCTAATAGTAACATTTGTTATTTTAGCACCAAGTTCTGATTTTAAATGCAGCTTTCTGTGGGCGGTAATAATGCAATGTTGATGTGGTCAGGCAAACAGCACTAATGTTTGCATTATAATGAGCCTCATTTGCATAGAAACGAATGACCCAGTTTGAATATTCCCGAAGCATCATTTACATATATTTTTTCACTTATTGAGGTTTTTTTTTTTTTTTTTTTTTTTTTTTTTTTTTTTACATGGAAATGTGTATGAATATACAGGTGAAACTCGAAAAATGAGAATATGGTGCAAAAGTTCATTTATTTCAGTAATTCAACTTAAAAGGTGAAACTAATATATTATATAGACTCATTACATGCAAAGTGAGATATTTCAAGCCTTTGTTATAATTTTGATGATTATGGCTTACAGCTTATGAAAACCCCAAATTCAAAATTAGAATATTGTGAAAAGGTTTTCATATCTGTAATCCATAATCATCAAAATTATAACAAATAAAGGCTTGAAATATCTCACTTTGCATGTAATGAGTCTATATAATATATTAATTTACTGAAATAAATGAACTTTTGCACGATACTCGAATTTTTCGAGTTTTACCTGTAGATGTAAGTGGGTTGTTGCAAGTATGTAAGCACATGGTAGGAGTGTGTGAATATGCGTGGCTATAGATGTATATGTGTGTGTATACGTATACGGATGTGCAAGTATAAGTATTGCACATATGTATAATTATGTATGTACATATAGTTTCTCTTTAAGTACAGTATATGTATGTATAATTTGTATGCATTCTTATCAAGTACATTTTATTTAGTCATTTAATTGTATTACTTTCCTCACGTTTATGTATTCATACGTTTACACGTATGACTTGTACTTATAACATTCAGGAATGAGGCTAATGTGAAGTCTTGTTTCAACATGGTATTGCTGTTAATGGTTCCCCGTTTATGTGCAGCTTTAAAAGAAGCATGTTCGGGAGTGTATTGCTATAGCAGCACCAGGTTCAGGCGGTGACTGAGCTGAGGACGGGTTGGTGTGGCTCTCACCTCACTGGAGTCCTCCTGCTCGTTGATGACCTGGATGGCGTCTTCCGTGGCTTTCCTCTTGGCCTCCGCGAGGGTTTTCTCCATCTTGGCTCTCTCAGTTGTGATCATGTCGAAGGCTTTCTGCTCGGCCTCGGCCACGGCTTTCTGCACCTCGTCCATCGCCTGCCGCTTCACCTCGTTCACCGCCTCCTCTGCACGACACCAATCACATATTCATCACGATCATGTGTGATCAACAACAGCAACGAATCAGTCGCCTTTGGCTTGCTTGGTTCAGGTTTAAAAAACACTTCATTTACATTTAATATTCAACAATATTATTGATCTGCCTGCATTGACATCATTAAATAAAATGAAAAATAAAAATATATATATACACAGGTGAAACTCGAAAAATTAGAATATGGTGCAAAAGTTCATTTATTTCAGTAATTCAACTTAAAAGGTGAAACTAATATATTATATAGACTCATAACATGCAAAGTGAGATATTTCAAGCCTTTATTTGTTATAATTTTGATTATTATGGATTACAGATATGAAAACCTTTTCACAATATTCTAATTTTGAATTTGGGGTTTTCATAAGCTGTGAGTCATAATCATCAAAATTAACACAAATAAAGGATTGAAATATCTCACTTTGCATGTAATGAGTCTATATAATATATTAGTTTCACCTTTTAAGTTTCACCTGTAATGCCAGTCACACACAAATAATAAACGTGACAATAATCCAACATATATTGAACAAATATTATACAAATATAGACTACAACAAATAGGAAAAGAAAATATACAGCGCAAATTATAAAATAATAATAATACAAGTAAACAGGAAAAAAAGAACTGGTGTGAGATCATCCTATATTAATAGCAGAAAAGCTTCACATAGAGAGCTAGTGTGTTTTTCTTTACTATTTTTTAACCCAAGTAGTAACTCAATATAATTTTTCATATCTATTTAAAATAACAAAAAGTTGGGGTTTTTGGCACCATTTTATGAGAACTGAGCTGGACAATGACATCACTGTTTTCTCCAGAGCGGATATATAAATAAATATATATATATATTTTAACTAAATTGATAACTTTTTTACAACAAAAATGAACCATCGCTGAACTTATTTAAGCTGGACTGTGACGCTATTTTCTTCTGGAAACAAACTTTGTTGCATTATTTTCCTGTTATCTCTGTAAAGCTGCTTTGAAACACTCTGTACTGTAAAAAGCGCTAAATAAATAAAGGTGACTTGACTAAATATTCAGTAATATAATTGATTTGACGGCACTGACACTATCAGTTAAGAACCGAATTGAGATAAATTATGAATTCTGCAATCTCATATTTGCATTGTTTCATTGCGTTTTCTTGTAATAAAACAATATAAATATTGAACAAAGAGCTTGTTTCGTTTCTGAAAGTGAGTACTGAAAAACAAGACAGGTGGTAGGGGAGAAAACAGGTTTCCCAGGGTGCATCTGGGTTTCCGCCCTTACCGGCTTTCCTCCATATCTCATCAGGCACGAAGCCAGAGCCGGCGCGCAGGGGAAGATCCCTCTGAGAGTCTGCAGGAGAGAAAAACAAATATATTACCATCAGAAGCGTGTAGGAGTGGCGGATATGGAAGCATGTGAGAGGACGGACGCTTCGGGATTCTTGGGCAGCGTTTGGTCACAGATGGCGTTGAGGAGCGCAGCGTTTCAGACGACATTCCCTCAGATTGGACTCGAATACACAACACCTGCTCGATCAGCAGGCTCACACACACACAGAATACACTCGTATAGAGACGTGCGCATGCACACACGCGCGCGTGGCTTTGTCTGTTAGGAGAGGATGAGTAACTTATTACTGTAGTTTACCAACATCTCCACTAGGGGGAAGTTGATTTAAAGGATTTATCAGAATTAAAACATTTTCACCCCAGTGTCATCCAAGATGTTCATGTCTTTCTTTCTTCAGTGGAAAAGAAATGAAGGTTTTTTAAGGAAAACCTTCCAGGTGTTTCTCCATATAGTGACTTCAATGGGGTCCAATGGGTCAAAGGTCCAGATGTGAGTTTCAGTGCAGCTTCAAAGTCTCGACACGATCCAGCCGAGGAATAAGAGTCTGATCTAGACAAACCAGCGGACATTTTATAACAAAATACACATTTCTATACTTTAAACCACAAATGCAAAAGCAAAAGCGTGACGTAGGCGGAAGAACCGACCCAGTGTTCACAAGTGTGGAGGAGGAGGACCATTCAAAAGTTATGTTGAATGACACATCTTTTTATGTCTTTGTGTTAGTTTATTGTTTAAAATGGTCCTTTCGTGTGCGTATCCTGGATGTTTAAATATTTGTGATCACTGGATCGGTACTTCCGCCTACGTCACGCTTGACCTTTCAACGTGATTATGTGTGTCGCATCACAGCATTTGTGGTTTAAAAGTATATAAATGTGTATTTTGTTATAAATGTCGGCTGGTTTGTCTAGATCAGACTCTTATTCCTCGGCTGGATCGTGTCGAGACTTTGAAGCTGCACTGAAACTCACATCTGGACCTTCGACCCGTTGGACCCCATTGAAGTCACTATATGGAGAAACATCCTGGAATGTTTTCCTTAAAAAAAACTTAATTTCTTTTCCACTGAAGAAAGAAAAACATGAACATATTGGATGACATGGGGGTGAGTAAATTATCAGGAAATTTTAATTCTGAAAAAAAGCTTTAAAAATTTCCTCAAACTCTATGAAATTACCTTAAAGGGATAGTTCACTTTGAAATTAATTTTTGATATGTTTTAGCTTACCTCAAGGGCATCCAAGATGTAGGTGTCTTTGTTTCCGCAGTAGTTTCAATTTTGATATTTTTAGGTCAAACCGTTCTTGTCTGTCAGTCATATAATGCAGGTCTATGGTCACCACCTCAAAGAGCATGCACAGAGAAGTCCAAATTAAACATGATTTAATGACTCGTAAATGTAAGTACACATTGATGGCCTAAGACACGAAACGAGCGGTTTGTGTGAGAAAACCAACAGTATTTATATCGTTTTTACCTCTTGTAACCACAGCCACGTCCAAGTGATCTGAGGGCGCCGGCGCTTCGGTCTGTGCGTTACAAGAGGTAAAAACGATATAAATACTGTTGGTTTTCTCACACAAACCGCTCGTTTCGTGTCTTAGGCCATCAATGTGTACTTACATTTACGAGTCATTAAATCATGTTTAATTTGGACTTCTCTGTGCATGCTCTTTGAGGTGGTGACCATAGACCTGCATTATATGACTGACAGACAAGAACGGTTTGACCTAAAAATATCACAATTGAAACTACTGCGGAAACAAAGACACCTACATCTTGGATGCCCTTGAGGTAAGCTAAAACATATCAAAAATTAATTTCAAAGTGAACTATCCCTTTAAATTTAAATGCGTCTCTGAAAGTCTGGCTGTGCTTTGAAAGGTCAGCGAAAGTTCAAACAGTTGGCGCTCTAAATGATTCTGAACACTAAACGACTCACCTGCGTTGACTCCCTCTGCCGACAGAGGACTGTGTGTTTTGGTGAAGGGGGCGTTCCCTGATGTCGTCCCGTTCTTGCGTACGTCGTCGTGTGGGTTTGAGCGTCTCCTCCAGTAATTGAGTTCCTCGCGGTCCGACTCCTGACAGCGCCGCAGAACGCTCACCGAACGACGAGTTTTCTCCACCATGTCCACAATGCAATTCAGCACCTACAACCACACAGATGACAGAGACATTTAGTACATGAGGTATATATATATATATATAGGAGTCAACATTTGAAGTGGATCAAAAAAGTTAATCAAAGCTGTCCACAAACAAGACAAAATTCATGTATAACTTTGATAAAAGGTTTTGATCCACTTCAAATGTTCACTACTGTATATATATACACTACCATTCAAAAGTTTGGGGTCGGTACGATTTTAAATACTTTTAAAAGAATTCTCTTCTGCTAACCATGGCTGCGCTTATTTGATTAAAAATACAACAAAAAGCAGTTATAGTATTAAATATTATTCCAGTGTAAATCAGCTGTTTTCTGTGTGAATATATAGTAAAGTGTAATTTATTCCTGTGATCAAAGCTGAATTTTCAGCATCACCAGTGTCAGTGTCTTCAGTGTCAAATGATCCTTCACAAATCAGTATAATATGAGGATTTGATGCTCAAGAAACATTTATTATTATTATCAATGTTGAAACAGTTGTTGGTCTGTCAGTTGTACAGTTTTTTTGTTTTTTTAGGATTCTTTGATGAATAGGAAGTTCAAAAGAACAGCATTTGTTTGAAATAGAATATTTTGTAACATTATAAATGTCTTTACTGTGACTTTCGATCAAATTAAGTATTGATTTCTTTCCTCCAAAAAATAAAAAATAAAATTCTCACTGACCCCAAACTTTTGAACGGTAGTGTATATAAATATTAAATAATGATTATTATTTTATTTTACCATGGTATTACTGGGTGAATCTCACAAATGAAGCCATGGACTATAAAGATTTAACACATTTAAGACTGCAATTATTGCATGTTTTGTTTTTGAGTTTGTTTCTAATTTTCATTCTCATGATTCTGATTAAATTATCAGTACTGTAAAAAATTACTTGTTAAATTATCATATATTTAAAGTCATTACAACAAATACTATAATGATGTATAAATACTTAAGTTTAAACTATATACATTTTTGCATTAAAGTATTGAGAATGAGATAGCATTACAATAATGAGTTTCATTGGAGAATGTTCTTAATTTTGAAATTATTTTTCAATGCAAAAACAGTAAAATACGCTTATTTTCTTAAAGGAAAACAGTGTTATTACTAACTAAAATTACTAGTTTTCATTGATTGAAGCTGAAACATGAAATACATTTAATAACTAAAACTAAAATATAAATAAATTACAGCTAAATAGAATTATTAAAACAAAAACTAACAAAATCACATTACAAAATTACTAAAGCTTAAACTAAATCTGAACAAATAGTATATATAAATCTGAATAAATACCATAATAGAGTATAGATGATAATAAAATAACAGCAATTTCTTATTTTATTCTTGATTTTCAAGTGAAATACAAAGCTGACCCATTTTTGACAGGTTTTGTGAGATTTACCCTCTAATACCACTACTTTACCATGGTGTCGGCGCAGTACTTTTGTTTGTAAGAATTATGAATAAATGCAATCTCACATGATCCAGATGTCTCCATTCCTCAGCCCACTCTCTCTCCGTCAGTCTGTGGTCGACAGGTTCCTCGCGGTAGCCTCCGTTACTGCCTGGAGATGACCACCAAAACACGTCAGAGATTCACTAGTAGTTTAAAACCCTCATCTTTCCCTCGCGTTTAGTAACACATCCTTCCCTCGCGGGTCAAAATGACCCGAAGCCCTAAAATTATACTACTTCTTTTTTTTTTTTTTGTCCAGAAAGCTTATTTTATTTCATTTTGACAACATATTTCAATTTTTTAAATACAATTTTTTTGGAGATTTTCTGTTATTTGTTATTTTATTTACCTTTAAATTACAAGATTTGATCAATAAATAATAAATAAATAGTAATTTAAGCACATTCCTCACATTCTTTCAACTTGAATTCAAAATAACGCACAATTTCATGCATAAACCTTTTAATTCAGCTCAAAATATCTTACATTGGGTGTCTATGCCGACCTTTTATGGAATAAAAATAATAAAACATGATCTTTCATGACTCTAGATTGCCTTATAGCTCTATATGGAGCAAATGAGCTGTTCCGCTGGGTCCTAAAGTCAGTTCATTCAGTATGCATTCAGATACACATGTAGATATTATAAAATAATTTTTTGGTAAAGATTTAGTTAGAATTTTGAGCATTTTTCTATGTGTACTGAAGCATCCCTCGCATTCCATTCGTTCCAATGGGGGTCAAATTGACCCGTGAGGGAAGGATTTGTTACTTTTTAAAATTTCAACCACAAAACTCCTCGAATCCATTACATTTTTTGTGTGTGTGTATTTGTGGTTCAAGTGCGACAAAAGTCCTGGGGTCCTCCGATAACACACACTTCTTCAAAAATGATTTCCGGGTCAAAATGAGCCGAGGGAAGGATGAGCAAGTACCTGGCAGTCGTGGCCTGTCCTTCAGCTCCCTCAGCTCCAGGATTCGGTGAGGCTCTCGGTACAGCTGAGGTGTGCTGATGTCATCCAGCGCGTAGTGTTGCAGAGGGGGCGGAGTCGGGTGGATCTGGGCGGGGAGATGGAGCGGGTGGGCGGGGCTATGTCTGGGGGCGGGGCTAATGGTGCAGATCCGTTTGGCAGGAGGTTCCAGGGAAGCGGGAGGCCGATCGTGAAAACCATTCTCTTTACTTCTGGAGAACATAATAACATCATAAGTAAGAACACTTAGAAGAGCACTATGGTTTTTGGACCTGTACAATGACAATACCAGGGTGTTTTGTTGAAGTACCTTGCAGTAAATACCATGGTATATGAATATTTCATCAGTTTCATCATGTTAAATTGCAAAGCACGATGATAAATACTCAGAAATTGCTATTAAAATTCATTAATAATTACAAAGAAACGGCAAGTAACACATTGAATTAAAAGTAAAATTTTGAAGTTGAATGACTGAAATAATATTTTCTTGAAAAAACATACTTCGAAAGAAAAATTAGGTCATACCATGTTTTTTGGATATTGTACCATGGAAATGTTCACATTTTCTTATGAATGGCATTAAAATGTTTTTTTTTTTTTTGTCATAGTACCATGGAAATACCACGTTTTTTTGGATCATATTTTTTGTCACTAATATCATGGTATGTTTTGAGGTACCTTCCATCATAGCATGTGAATAACCACATATATTAAACTATAATGTTATCTTATACCATAACTTAAATGATTTTTCAAAGTTGTAAATAAAGCAAAGACTAAGTTTTTCAAGAAAATACTATTTCAGTCCTTTTACTTAAAATGCATTGCCATTAATTGTGAAATTTACTAGCAATTTCTGAGCAAAGAATTTTTTCTACACCAAATTTGTTTTGGTCATACCATGTTTTTTTGGACATTGTACAATGGAAATACCAGGGTTTTTATTTATTTATTTTTGGACTTAATACAGTAATTCCACATTTTCTTATGCACCATGGAAATCTTGTCACAGTAATATCATGGTATTTTTGAGATACCTTGCAGTACTATGTAAACATCATGGCATGTGAATAAACATTTACTGTATTAAAATATAGTAGTATCTGGTCCCATAACAACTATGGGTCTAACAATATATCGTGTCACAATATATCACAATACAAAAATGCAATAATTTTTATCGTGGATAGTGACAATATGTATTGTTCACCCAAAATAATATTTCTGTGTGAGGAAAAAAATCAAGTTTACAGAGTTTTAGTGTCAGTACTACTTTAAACTACTATATATAATGTTGAATATTATGTATAATGAGGGAATATTTGTGGGTCCTGATAATGCCAGATGTCTGATGTTACCAGTAAACAGTGGCAAACATTATTTTACATATATTTAGTCAGTGAAAGAGTGCAAGCATGTTCGTCTGAAATAACTCTGTATTTTCAGCTTCAGAATCATGAATATTTGTTATTGTGGTGTCTCTATTGTCCTGTGCTTTGGGTTTCAGCACCAAATCCAAAACTATTCATTTACACACATTTACATTTTACATTTACATTTAGTCATTTAGCAGACGCTTTATCCAAAGCGACTTACAACTGAGGACTAAAACAAGCGAGTCATCGTGAATAGGCAAAAACAATGCAAGAAGTGCTGAAAATACAAAGTTCAGGCACTGCTCAGAGTAGCATAAGCCAGACAAGGGAGGATTTAAAGGAAAAAGAAAGTTTATATATATATATATATCAGAAAAGAAAAAAAATTTGTTCATGAATTTTTTTTTTTTTTTTTACACACACAATGTAATACCAAATTTAGCATGTGAATCAAAAGTACATTTTTTGTTAACCTTTTATCATATGTCTTGGAGTATCGCAATAATATGTTATCGTGAGTTCAGTATCGTGATGTGTCTCGAATCGGGACATGAGGGCATCGTTACACCCCGAATAACTACTAATGTAGTTCTGCCATGACTCTTTATTTTTAAGTCTTATTTCTCAGAGCATGTTTGCGTGCGCTCATACCGGTTGGGACTGTGTCGTTTGCTGCTGTCGTTGGGGTCCAGCAGGAGTTCAGAGGAGTCGGCTGGAGACGGGGCGCTGGTGCTGAGCAGGAGGTGTTCGTGTTGGGACAGATACTGTGCTGGAGTCTGTTTGGCAGCCCGAGCGCAGTGAAGAAGCTCTCTCTGCAGTAAAGGCAGGTTGGCCTGCGTGAAGAACACACTGCGTTCAGATTGCGGTAAATCTGGCTGCATAACAAGCATCAACTGAATGGAAAGTTGCACGCAATCAAACCCAGCAAGCAATCTAATACGTCTAATAGCCGTCCAAACACAGCCCAGACGTCTAGGCTAAAACAAGGCAAAATTTGAACATTCAGTGAAAACTTAATAAACATCTAACCATCGCCCAAGAACAGACTAGTCATCTAAAATATGAACATGTCAAAGAAATGAAACCAAACCCCTTGTAATCACTGTTGACTTTGAATATCATTCATCTCACAAGTTATTTTGGCAAAAACGACATGCAACCAAATTCGAGATTATTTTGGCTACTCATAGCCGGACTACATCGGGTCTATAGTTAACCGAGACGGTGAAATGACAGCTATTGCTTGCTGGGAACCCACTTTGGAAGCATTTTCTTAAGTGGTCTAAACTAATCAATTAGCACCACATTTTTTGCATTTTTCCAGATAAGAGTGGAGATAAAGGTCAAAAAGATTTCTTCCTGGACAGACTCAGAGGAGCCGCGATGTGCATGAAAACTCCTGAGCCCGAGGCGTCTGCTCAGCGTCACTGCATGTTCTGCTCGCTATTAAAGCTCCAGACTGCAATTTTCACCAACATCTCGTCAAAATAGTCCATAAATCTTTCGGATGAAAACACTTCAGCCACAGGAGGATGAGAAACAATCGCCCAGATGAAACAAAACAGACCCAGCGCTCCGTTTCTTATATGATGACCATGTGAGATTGATTACTAATGTGAACATATGAAGAATATCAGAACCATCTGGCAAACACAAGGGGAAAATACTCTCTCAAGAAAACCCTTTCAAAAGCATTAATTAATTTACACATCATCTCTCTCTCTCAGTAAAGACCAGGACACAACTAGCGGTGACGAAAGCTGACGCCGCAAAGACTACAGGCGACTGTCAACTAGCATATGTGTGCTAGTTAAACGACTATCAGCAGGCATCAATAGTCTATATTCGTCATTCAAAAAGGGAAACCAAGGCAGTTTCTGAAATGTAGGTACTTATTTTGAATAAGTAATTACTTCACAAACACTAAAAACAGTAATCTAGTATGAATGTGTGTTGTGAATTTACTAAGATGACGTAAAATTGTAACTTTTATTCTTGTGCACGGACTCGTTTGATAAACTAACAGTCTATTTTTTTCTTTTTTCTAATACTCTAATTCATAATAAGTCTGATATTGTAATTTACACATCTCTGGGATAGTTCAGAGGGTCGAAATTGATGGGATTCTCTCTGAGTAAACAATTATTAACTATGGAGTTCCTCAGGGCTCTGTGTTAGGCCCCCTTTTGATCCTCTTATACATAAATACTGTCAAAGATGCTGCCCGACTAGAGCTGACGTGTGAAACACAAAGGAAAAAACAGTCCGACAGACGCTCACGATCGACTTGGTGCGTCACGGCCCTAACACTAATTAACACTAATTTTAGTTTTGGGAAGTCTAATTCATTTGAAACAAATCTGATCATTTTTGCTTGATCATTTCAATAATCCAGTTCAACAAAAATGATTCACACACAGCATTTTATGCGCTTTCATTAAATAAAACATGGATAAATGCGGCTGGTATCACTGTGCTTTGTATTAAATTTAGTGCTGTCAAACGATTCAATTATTTAATCGCATTAATGTCGTAGTTAACTCGCGATTAATCGCACATTTTTATCTATTCTAAATGTCTCTTGATTTCTTTTTGTCCCATTATTTTTTCTCATTTTAATGCTCTTATCAACATGGAAAAGTGGATTGGCTCGCTTTGTGCAAATGTTTTTTATTGAAAACAACATTGGCATATACTGTGTTCAATTTCACACTAACATTCTCACTTGGAGCAAATAATCTCTCACACAATGTAACACTGTCCATCAACAAACGGGTGAAAGAAATACTGAGCGGTCCTGATATTGACGAGGGGGCGGAGCATTCGCATCAGCTGTGTGTGTGTGTGTGTGTGTGTGTGTGCTTGGCCATCATCAAGTGGTATTTCAGACTGGACGTGCTGCGATGATGATAGCTCAGTTCACAACGACAAAACACACAGATCACTTTGGTCTGTCAATGGAACCATTTGACAACTTTTTAAAAGTAAACTTTCCATTCAGAATCTTATTGGCATCCATTTCGGCGTCTCGCGCTCGTCATCCACTCAAAACGTAACGATAACCTACTATTTGGCCGGCTTGCAAGCCCAAACAAGTGTGTGCGGCGTCGTACCTGTTGCTTTGTTTCCAGTCTAGCTAGATCCGCTTGCGCTTTGGTCGACGAAGCAACAAAACGTCCTCGCACGGCGCAAGCCATTGAAATGAATGGGTTTCATAGCGCCGCGCCGCGTCTGTTGCAAAAGCATGTGAAAAAAACTACAAAGTTTGCTAGGCCAAAAAGACCGCTAATCGCGCGATAAAAAATTGACGCCGTTAATAACGCGTTTAACTGACAGCCCTAATTAAATTATATAAATGATTCTGATTTTAGTTATATTGGTTATATTTACTGATGATGCCAACACAATCACAAAATAATTTAGTACTGGTGATAATCACAACAATTCCGTGTTCATGGAGTATATTAAACATGATACCTAAAGAAAAGGGTCTGGAATGCTTTCAAATGTTTTCTAAAAGAGAACAAGAATCTCTAGTTTTTATTATGAGAACGACAAACATCTCTGTTCATGATTAACTTTGCCCTCCTCTCACATATGCTGCCTGTCATTCACGTTCTCTTGTTTTGCGCCAGCAAATATTCCCGGACAACTGTGTTAACCGCTGCCGAGCTCCATATGTTACGCGGGCCCTGTAAAAACAACCTGCAACGGTTTATAGTCGTGTTTCACACTTCCGACCGCCTGGAATTCTCGGAAGTCTCCGTTGGCTCCATAAATCACCAAAGGAAATATTAGATACCTTCCACTTTCTCTGTTCAGCATCCCTCTCATGCATGGCACTTTAAAATCATTGAATTCAAGCAGCTTCACGTGTTTTATTCACTAATATCTCCAACACTGCTGTCATATGGAGTGTTTTATTGGCTTTTATGGTGTTTTAATGTCTTTTTTAGGGAACGCTCTCAGTCTGAACTATGCCTAATATTCCCTAATAAGGTTCTCCTAAAGTTCTTCCGGTAACGTTAATAGAACGTTCGTTTTCTGGGACGTTATCAGGTCTTTAAAACATTTAAAACATAAAAATATTAGACATCGTTCATGGAATGTGTTTTTCTGAAACATTTTAGTTGAACGCTCGTCTAACATCTATTTAAAGGGATAGTTCACCCAAAAATGAAAACTCTGTCAGTAATTACTCTCCCTCATGTTGTTCAACACTGTAAGACTTTCGTTTATCTTCGGGACACAAATTAAGATATTTTTTGATTAAATCTGAGAGCTGGATCACTCCTCCATAGGCTTCTCAGGGATCGAAACTGGCCGGCCCAAAAGTTATGAAAGACATCGTTAAAATAGTCCGAGTGACGACAGCGGCTCAATCTTAAGTTTATCAAGCGACGAGAATACTTTCTGTGCGCAAAAAACAAACAAAAATAACGACTTTATTCAACTATTCATTTCCTTCTCTGTGGGCCTCGAGATTTTCACGCAAAGCTTCTAGGTTGCACGTCACACGCATCACACACACATGACCAGCGTCGGCCAATAGTGAGCCTGCGTGTGACGTGCAACCTAGAAGCTTTGCCTAATATTCCCTAATAAGGTTCTCTCAAAGTTCTTCCGGTAACGTTAACAGAACGTTTGTTTTCTGGGACTTTAAAACATTTAAAACATTTTAGTTGAACGCTCGTCTAACATCTATTTAAATGTAAAACTTGTTTCGGAATGTCCAGAGAAGATTCAAAAGTAACATTCCCATGTTTGCAGAATAATAAAAGTGGTTTTTGAAACAAGTTCCGAACGTTCCGAACATTTTGAACATTCCGAATAATGTTTTCATAACTTAATGGGAGGCTGGGATACGACACAAGGGCGAGTAAATGACAATTTATTCCTTTATTGGCCATTTACCTTTAAGAATGGTATGACGAAGGGCCTTAAGGGGAAGTTTGTGGCTTCTTGCAGTCTGGAGTGAAACTCTTCAATGGTGACGGTGGAATTCTATGGGGAAAAAAAAGACATCGCTAGTAAACCCGTTTCGCATTCGACCGAACCGTATACAGGTGAAACTCGAAAAATTAGAATATCGTGCAAAAGTTATAATTTTGATGATTATGGCTTACAGCCTATGTAAACCCCAAATTCAAAATCTCAGAAAATTAGAATATTACATGAAATCAATAAAAAAAGGATTTTAAATACAGAAATGTCGGCCCTCTGAAAAGTATAATCATGCATATGTATATAGACTAAATATATTAGTTTCACCTTTTAATTTGAATTACTGAAATACTTTTTGCACGATGTTCTAATTTTTCGAGTTTCACCTGTATTATGCATGTAATAGACGTACCACTAAAGCGAGCACCAGGTTTCGGACGCTCTCCCCGATCTCGGGCGAGATGTCGTTGCCGAACTGCTGTAGAGTGGTGAGGAAGCGCTTCAGTTTGCTCAGCTGGCGCGCGCCACAGGTCGCCGGAAGCTGCTGATTGGCCAGTGAAGAGGAAGATGATGACGAAGGCCCGTTGCTGTAGCGCTGAGGCGGAGAAGGAACGGCGTTGAGCATCGGGGGGGAATGGTTGATCCCATTGGTCACTGCATAAACAGAGAATGTGGTTATTAGACTTGTGATAATCATAGCAATGTTAGGAATGACCTGAAAACACACTATTTTAGTATTATATTTATAGCTATTTGTATAATTATTTATTTTTATTATTAGTTTTATTTAGTTATTATTATCATCAGTTTTCAGTTTTAATTTTAGTTTAAGGTTTATTCATTTTTTTCTTCTTCCAGTTTTAGTATTTATTTATTTCCAGTTAGTAATTTTAGTGCTTCAATTTAAACTTTTCATTCAATTTCTGATTTTTAGTTCAAGATTAACGTTACATTTTTCCATGTCATAATTCTATTTTATTTTAGCTTTATTTCAATTTAACAAACATTTTTAATATTTAATACCCTGTTTTTCCACTACATAAAATTTTCTACAAGCTCAAAAGAATTTGTGAATTGTTGTTTATAGTTGCAATATGTCAAGCCACAGTTTTACTGGTTAACTCAATAATCATAAATAAAGCTCTTTTTTCCCCCTGCTGTTAGTTGCTCCTGTAGGGTAAATTGCTTTTCCCTGTTTTTAAGTTGTTTTGTATAAAAAAGTATGCTAAATAATTAAATGTAAATGATCTGCTATGCACTCAAAGTATGTACTTCGCTAGTGACAGGGAATGTTTCGAGTATTGACACATACACAAAGGTCACATGCTGTTTGTGTAAGTATTAACTAAATTGCATTGAAATTGCAATTGTTTTATAGTTTAATATACATTTAATAACTGAGTAGACTCGCCAAAAATCGAATCTCCTTTATCATTAGGAGTGAATACTTCTTCTCAGTATACACTATATACAGTATACCTACAAAAAAAAAAAAAAAAATGCATGATTCCACAATGGAAATCTCAAACAACTAGTATGCCACATTGCTGTCACATGACTTGGGCTGTAATCACTTCTGGTTTATTCATCACTCTGGAAATGGAAGTGCACACTGCATACTGCAAATTTTGACGTGCAATACGTTTTTGGGGAATTTCATGCATGCAAAAAATGTAAATACTGTGAAATTGGTAGTATGTCATGATATGGGACACACTAGTGGCAATGAGAGCATGCAGGTTTGAGTGAGTCTCACGTGCTGTGGTGGAGAACGCTGCCGGACGAGGTCCGCTGGGATTGATGGAGGGAAGAGGAGGCATGACGGAGACGGTTGGTCTAGAATGAGTCTTTCCATCCACTGGGGATCCGGGCATGGCAGGAACGTTCTTCTCTGCACTGTCTGAAAACCAGAGCCAGAGACAATGAGCTGGAGAGATTGACACAGCACTTATTTTCTTTGTAATCATGAAGGTTTCTGTCAAGATTTCCATTCAAACCCAATAACATCTCGGATCTCATTCGGCCAGACATAAAAGAACTCGCATTTCGTTGTGCATCGTTTATACAACCATTAACAGACGCACAAATGCAAACGAATGAATTTGGATATTCCCAAGCACACAAATGCAGACAATGTGTCTCATGCATTGATATGCAATTCATGTTTAAAGAGACCTCGACAATCCAATTGAGCCCAAACCTCGAAAAGTGGCATAGATTTCTAATCGTAACCCTCACACCCTTCCTAAACCCATCATCTCCTTTCTGGTGCACACCAGATGTTTTCTGCCCTTGTTTAAGAACCGTGGAGTCCCGACAGCTGAAGTGCAAATGAACCAGGTTTTGTCCTCGGGAAAGAAAGGCTGATCATTGAATGGAGAATCGGGCCATTTCACGCTTGCTAACTAGGCTTCACAAAAGCCGTCAAGAGCTAAACGCATACTTTCTGCTTTTCAATGGACCACCAGGCCCAAAAGTCGTAGATCAGAGGTGCTGTTGTTCTGAAAGAGCCGTGAGAGAAGCTATCGGCCTCATTTCGAGTATATCAGACCGCTGAAAACGCTTTTACAAAGGCGGCTAATAGACCCACACAGATCGAGTTGTCAAAGGTCATGAAACGCTTCTTACCAGACGACTTTTCATAGACGGGGCTTCTCTGGGTGAAAAGCGTGTTTTGTTTAATGTTTATTCATGGGAAACTAATGCAGTGAATGCGTTTCTCCGTGAGGGATTACGCCGTATAGTTTTTAAATGGGCCTCTCCACTTAACAATGAAAAGCAAGGCGGTTTTTAATGGGATTGTTATAGCGCTTCATTCGTACGTTTCATTGCGGTCGCGACATGCTGAACGAGTCCGACACATAGCAGAAGAGTTGAGCCCAATTATACTGAAATCCTTTCAAATGTTGTGTCTATGCTATTATGTTGATTGCATCATGTGTTTATACTAGTGTAAAATATATACATAACTCTATTTGTTTCAGTTGTGTAGTGCATTCAATTAAATTAAACAACTAAAAAATATGGAAATAAAACAAACATTTCTGCATGGAAATGGGGAAAAAATATATATATTTTGCATTGTATTCTGCAGTTTAAGCTCATTGCATTTACTGCAATGAATCTCATATACAACAAAAAAAAAAGAATTACTGAATTATATTTTGCATTAAGAAAATAAACTGTTGAAGGACAATTACATTTGTGTTCTGTAGTTTAAGCTTGTTTCATTCATTGCACTCTTTTAAATGAGCTTTTCTCGTGACTGTGAGACTCAAACAAATCCTCATCTTGCCACACTAACCGAAAGTCACAGGTGCGACACACTTTTGCACACACACGCACGGACACGCAGACAAATCTTGTGGTTAGCGAGCGCACCTGAGCCCCGCTCCGGGTCCTTCAGGCTGCCCCTCTTAATGCCTGACTGAAAAATCATGCGCCACATTTTCCCCTTCCATGTACACCTGTCTCCTCCCTAGGAGTCAGGAAGAGGGAACATGGGAGAAACTGGAAGCCCAGCCATTTGGGTTTGAGCCACACCGTAGGATATACACAACCCGTCTGTTAGCAGAGATTATCAGCACACCTGTGGAGAACTGCAGCTTAACTTGTGAAAGACGAGAGAGAGTTTCACTAGTAAAGCTAAACACGTTTTTTAAGTTTGAAACTTACAGATCCATATATCATCACCAGACCACACTGACTGATCAGTCCGACAATATTTGGAAATTTTGAGTTTATCAATAAAGCTTGTTGTAATATTATAATGATCAAATTCAATTTAAACATTTGTTTTGTAAATATTGTAACCATTCATATCATTTTACATTGCAAAGTTCAACTTCGAAAATGTTCTTCGTGTTGTAAAATCCACAATAACTGGTTTTGTTGAAATTAAAAAATAAATTCTTTAAGATTACTGATTATAACTGAATTCAACCAACCTGAAAAAACAAGGTTTAACTGTCAGTAGATATAACCTCATTTCTCCAGCGAGGTAAAATTACTTAAGTTTTTCTTTTATATGATGAAAGTCCTTTTCCACCTTGATGTAAATGCACTAAAAAATGAATTCATTACCTTTCCTGAATTTAATTCAAGACATTTTTTTACACACAATTTAATTGAGTTCATTCCAAATAAAGTTGTTTAGTTGGGTAAACACAATTTAGTTGGTTTAGGTCAAGCTATTTAACTCTAGTATGTTTAACTTAACATACAAATTAGTCAAATTAAAAAAAAAAATTATTTTATTTACTGAGGCTTAATTTTCACATCAAGGTGGAAAAGGACTGCTTTTTGGGTTGGTTTATTTCAGTTATAATCTGTAATAGCAAATGTGTGTGCATATTATTAAATTTGACTGAATAAAGAAATATTTGTATAAACTGGCGTTACACTGCATAAATGCAAAAACATTACTGTTTTATTTAAGTGTTTATGCATATTATGCTTATTTTACGCATTTATGCATAATTATGCATAACTGAAATAAAAAAAATGAAGGCTTATAAAAAAATTAACTGTTGATTCTACGAGTGTTTTTTGCGGTCTCAGGTGTAAAGACCTTTATCAGTCACTGAATTGAAAACATCCTTGCCTTCACCTGAGTCCAGCACACACACACACACACACACACACACCGCAGTAAACACACAGCTGCGGTGCGATCCGTGTGGAAGAGAACACGGGTCTGTTAGCTCGGAGATATCCGTGCGGATCAATATTGATCTGCTAACAGCAAATGAGCAGCTTCCTCTGACTGCCACCTGTTCTCATACTCATAAAGCTCAAATAAAGAGGAAAAGCTCATTACAGATATCACTGATGTCACTGTGGTCATCTGACACATCTCACGCTGTCCTGAAACCTCTAATACACTGTGATAAACTGAGAGGAACAAACAACTGCATGCTGATATATTTAATCATGGGTTCACCACAGAGAACATGGACTCGCATGATGATAATAGATTGAGACATTAAAGTCACAAACACCATAATGGAAATCAATTTAAATATGTTTTTTACTATTATTATATTAAATTATGGTGTGTACATTTACCAATCAAAAATTATAAACATTTACTGTTTAGCCCTCTGGCATACTCTATCTTTCTATCTATCTATCTATCTATCTATCTATCTATCTATCTATCTATCTATCTATCTATCTATCTATCTATCTATCTATCTATCTATCTATCTATCTATCTATCTATCTATCCATCTATCCATCCATCCATCCATCCATCCATCCATCCATCCATCCATCTATCTATCTATAATGAAACATTAATAACTTTTCAATGCAACTCAAGAACCTTTACAGACAGAAATGGTCCTTTATACGCTTTCTGACATGAAAATGTACATGAATATATTAGGGCTGTCAAATGATTAATCACGATTAATCACATCCAAAATAAAAGTTTTTTACATAATATATGTGGGTGCACTGTGTATAATTATTTTATATATATAAATACACACACATGCTTGTATATATTTAAGAAATATTTTCATGTATATACTGTATATAGATTTATATATAATTTATATTATAAATAAATATAAATATTTTATATATAAATAATATTTTTTTCTTAAATATACATGCATGTGTGTGTATTTATATATATACAAAATAATTATACACAGTGCACCCACATATATTATGTAAAAAAAACTTTTATTTTGGATGTGATTAATCGTGATTAATCATTTGACAGCCCTAGAATATATAAGTGATTTCTCCTAAACATCTCATGAAAAAACATTGGGCTGATTTGGTTGTGAAAACATGTGTCGACTCTGAGAATATAACCAATCTGAGAGAGGTTTACTCCCCCAAAAACGTTAAACATTGAGGCACACAGAGTTGATTTAAAAGCCCGGCCTGTCTTTGTTTAAAATGATATATGAATTTCCATTAAAAGCGCTTCAATGCTGCCAAACCGAGTGTTTAGAAATCATTTAAAGAGATCAAGACAATAGAGCAGAGAAACGCACCGCCTCCAGCCACACATCAGCAAAACAAACCCACACGGGGCGAGAGACACAGAGACAGAGAGAGAGAGAGAGAGAGAGAAAGGGAGACGGACACAAAAGGGTTAACCTATCAGATCATTATGTGTGTGAGAGAAAGAGAGAAAGAGAGAAATAAAGAGCTGGGACGGATGTTTCTGTTCCCCTTCCCCCTCCGTCTCCTTCTGTTCTTCCACCATATGGAGCTGATGATGGGGGGGCAAACCGACAGATGGAGCCTCAACAGTCAATCTATATATCAACAGTGATTATATATATCTCCATATCAACAGTCACTATATCTCCATATCACCTGTGTCCAAATCACATCGCACAAGAAAAATCACAAAACACATTTCCAAAACTGTTTCTATAGACATTAAATGGAGAGCAAACTGAGATTTTCTGCTTCTCAGACCCACATAATCTCACAAGCATCTCTCATCTGGATCTATCTATCTATCTATCTATCTATCTATCTATCTATCTATCTATCTATCTATCTATCTATCTATCTATCTATCTATCTATCTATCTATCTATCTATCTATCTATCTATCTATCTATCTGTCTGTCTGTCTTTCTGTCCATCCATCCGTCCATCCATCCATCTATTCATCCATCAATCCATCCATCCATCTATTCATCAATCCATCCATCCATCAATCCATCTATTCATCAATCCATCCATCCATCTATTCATCAATCCATCTATCCATCCATCCATCTATTCATCAATCCATCCATCCATCAATCCATCCATCCATCTATTCATCCATCAATCCATCCATCCATCCATGCATCTATTCATCCATCTATTCATCCATCCATCAATCCATCCATCCATCCATCCATCTATTCATCCATCAAT